GGAACGGAACGGAACGGAACGGAACGGAACGGAACGGAAAGGAACGGAACGGAAAGGATACTGAAGAACAGAAGAAAAAATATCGAATAGGAAGTATCCGAAGTAACTGTGTTTTTATAGAAATGCAGCCCTTAGAAAATATGGTTTAAAGAAGGAAAGAATTTTATCATTCTTAATCTGTATGTCCATGTTATGTCTATTATATTTATGTCTATTATATTTATGTCATAGCAAAACTCTATTTAAACTAGCCTTGCTAAACTAGATGTGCCTGTATACATATTGACTTAAATAAATAAAAAATAAAAAAAGAGCTCGGCTTGGGAAATATACGCGGACTGCATGCTTCTCACTCAGTTTAATTAGACTATTTATTTGATTGGTTTAGGAACTGCTCTTAAGACACGGCACGTTCGTGATGGAAAAGAGCTACCAGAAATAGCACGAGACGACTATTACGACTTCAATTACCAGGTAAAATAATGTTACCAAATCAAGAATACTTCCTGGGATACCTATAGTCGTAAAATATCAAATTCCTTTGCTTATTTCCCTGATTTCTACTGTGTTAAAAATGGGGAAGCGCAATAGGTCATAGCTAGGTCACAGGTATCCCCATGAATACGTACAAGACGGGCTTGTTTGAAGGAAAAGCGGATACAAAATAAATTTTGCTCCAGAAATCGATCGCGAATTGATATATAAAGAAACTAACAAAGAATTTGAATGGCTTGTCATTATATATTTTGAGTGCTCATAACCCTTTTTGTTGTTGTTGTTGTTGTTGTTGTAATTGTTTTTGTTTTTGTTTGTTTGTTTGTTTGTTTGTTTGTTTGTTTGTTTGTTTGTTTTATTCCCACAGGAATTTCATATTTCCAGAAAGGAAACACATATTGCTCCGGTAAGATAATAAAACAGAATTATTAAAGCATGAGGTTGAACGAGATATCGTACATTGCAAAGGTGAAAAAATGTACTGCGCATGCTCGGACATTTGGCGGGAAATATGTGGACGCGTCATATTTACAAATAAAACCACTGGAAATTTACCGGCATTTGGTAGGTCTTTAAGGTTATTTTTCCCTTATACATCCCTTTAGTTGTTTTCTTTCCCTGGTAAAACAATACGAAAGAAATTCGCCTGGTGATACAAACGCTTGTAAATCTCCAATAGTTTTCTTTGTAAAGAGGACGCGTCTTCGAAATTTCCGCCGAACTTCAGAGCATGTGCCGTGCGTTTTTCATCCCTGTCATCTTAAATGCTTAGGCCATATGCTAATATACGAGAGCGAGAGAAAAAGAAAACTAAAAGTTAAATTGGACTCTAACCTTTATGACGTTTCTAGGTACCTACGCAACCACAATCCTTTTCATAATATCTTTTCATATTCAAATATTAAAAATCCTTTGAAAATACCAAGACAGTAGTAAAAATTAGACAAAACAACAGCAAAAAAAGAAAAGAAAAAAAAACCTGATAAAAGGGATTCTGGAAATATCATCATTTCATGGTTGAGACCTATGAGCAATTTGAGCAAAATGTAATGAAAAGAAAAAAGATTTAAAAAAACTTTATTTAGTAGCCGGACACATTAGCCGTTCCAAGACTGAGGAAAAAACTGTGTCGAGTTGGCATTGCAGTGCATTGTGGGACTATTTTAGGGGACATATTTATTGATGGGTCCTATTTCGTCTTCTAAGTCCCAAAATGCACTGCGATGCTAGTTCGACCCAGTTTTTTCCTAACCTTGGAATGAAGCATTTTTTTTCCTTTACCATATAGGGGGATGATATCATTGTGGATTGCCAATATCAATCTAAAGACAAGACTCGTCCAGTCACGGTAAGCCAAACATCTTTCATCTAATCAACTTCCACTCGAAATTAGCAGTAATKTGAATATCATTTTGTTTTATTTTGTTAGGGTGGGCTAAAGTCATCGGAAGAAATGTGTATGAGCTTTTTGTATTACTATCCGAAAGTGGAGCTCAATAAATGCCTTTCTGCTGATTATGGCATGTACCCTTTCTTCAGAAAACATTTTAAGTACGTGTTTTAAACCTTTTTTTCGTGGCATATCGAGTGTTGGTTTGGTTTGGTTTGGTTTGGTTTGGTTTGGTTTGGTTTGGTTTTTTGGTTTGGTTTGTTTTGGTTTTTTGGTTTGGTTTGGTTTGGTTTGGTTTGGTTTGGTTTTGCTTCTTTTTCATCCTCTGATCAGTTGATCGTTCGTTCGTTTGTTCGTTCGTTTTCTGTCTTTTATTCAATCCCTGTTTGTCAACCTATTCATTTATTCATCACTGAATTCATTTTGACCGTCACCTCATTTCTCCATTCTTAATATCATTAATTTCGACTATCTGTAAATGGATATTGGATGGATTATGTTCTGATTAACGTAATGAATGATCTTTTAATGCATCAGCGTGAATGGCAGTACCGTCGGATACCCACCAGCACAATGGACACAGAATTTGACCAATGAGCTCAAAGAATCGTATGACAAAAACCCATATATTCGATTGAAATGCGTGTACCAAGCTGAAGTTAAATCCCCGGTAATTGTAATATTAATATGTCAGACACACTGTATAGACCTGCATGGCTTTTAAGCTTTGTGCCAGCGTAATGTTTTCTCATTGCAGAATACGTGTCATTTCCGTAGAGTATCATTTCTTTGTTTAACGGTTGTGCATGAGATCGAAGACACATGAATTAATACCGGGATAGATACAACCCAAACGAAGAATTTCATAAAATAGCTTTTTAAGTCCAAAACGAAAATCAGTTCAATAAAGATTCCTGTTACTTTTTCTTCATGGCAGGATTTGTTGTCCAAAGTTTTAATTATTCSAGGTGGATGTTAAATCATTTTGAACATCTTTTACTATATTTTAGCGGCGTTTGTGATCAGTTGTACACGGAAATATACGTCACAACTTAAAAACCCTATTCTCAAGTTAATGACACGTGATCTGAAATGAAAAACTAAGCCCAAATTCAATTGGTTAACTAATGATAACGTAAAATCAATTCAGTGCCATCTTACTGTGAAAGGGAGGGTTTATCCACTACCGACCACTTCTGCTTGAAGCGGAAATCCTGGAAATCCTCAAGTATTTGTTAGGTTCTCTAATATTAAAGGATTTATTTATTTAAAGTCAGTGGTCCTTCAGCTAGTAGCTGGTCTCCCAGGGAACTGACGGTGCGCAATTTACCCCCCTCTCTACATCAGTGCTCCATTTTAAGAGTATTCAAAGCTGAAGCTACAGGGATTAGAGGGAAGTAGAAAGAGATGTGAAGATCCTGAGGATCTCTAGCTCTAATTAAGGCCGCGCATTAACCAGCTGAGCTACGCGTGCTTCTAAAATTCGAAATAAATGTGTGTTTGCCTCTAAACAACGTGTTTATGTATAGAAAACAAGGATGATTTAAAATCTATTAAACTAATTAATAATAATAATAATAATAATAATAATAATAGAGTGCAAACAATATATCCATGAAATATTAGTAATACTAACTTACACTATTTTATGCTAATACTATTGTTTTCCTTTGTTTAACTAGCACTATTTTGAATAATTTAGTAATTAGTGTTTCACGGTTATATTGTTTGCACTCTAATAAGCTATTAAAAATAGATACTAATATATTAAAACTCATGTTTTATTTGTAGGTGTACAATAACTATACCTTGAAGCCGATAGTCAATGTGCCGTATACGAAAGAAGGAGACAATTGTCCCACAGCAATTCCGTCGACCACCAAACCAGTTGGAGAGCCGAGCGCAGCGGGACTTCAAACCGTTGAAATGTTTGGCGCAACGCTTGCCGCATTCGTCGCATTAGTACTCAACGCTTTTTAAGATCATTAAGCAGCTGGATGACTACAGTCAGATTGTTTGTTGATTTTCACTTGATTATGACTGATGCGTAATGTTTTCCCATTTCAAATCCCTCCGCGAAAAAAAGATTCTCTCTTCGAGTTTTATATATATTATTATATATAATATTTTCTCGAACCTTGCTGGCGAGGGAAGAAATAAGACCCAAGGGAATGGTGTGGTTCTGAAATGGGAAAACATTAAGGCCAAATATATTATTGCTATAAGCCTTTAGAGTACCGAAGTGAGAAGTTATCATATCCGAACACCAAGAAGAGAATCAAAAAAAAAAAAAGGGGGGGGGGGCGGAGCTGAGTTTTTTAACCAACTTCGAGGTTGGTCCTCATGAATTATTAATGCCTTTTAGAAGGTTATTGCAAACTATTAAACTGCATTAATCCTTCAACGTACACCCTCCGAACTTCGATACTCTATTGACTTCTGTGCACGATTGCAAGCTTGTAGGTTCAGTAATTTGCACTTTATTTGCTCGCACTTTAATATCCTATACCTGAATAAAACAAAATTTGATTGGGAAAGAAAAAAATACGCGGAGTTCCTGTGGTTTTGGCGGGAATTTTCCGGCCAAAATGCGCGCGTCTACGAACGGACTGCAGTGCAGTCTCCCTGTAATCTCCTTTACCTGTTACAGCCTCTCACGCAAGTTCACATGATCAGCACTATGAATATAATATCAATAAAATCGTATTAATCAATGAAAATGACTGCGCAAGTTTTTCATCTTTAAAAAAAGGAAAATAGTTAACACTATTGTCCCTCACATTCAAAAGTTTCCTTTAAATGCGAGTAAAAGTGTATAGTTCAAATTGTAAATGGAGTAGTTTTTGTATGGGTGGGAACATACTCTACATGCTGGCTCCTCGTTAGAGCCGGACACTAGTACTTTTTTTCGTAATTCAACTATATAAGTTATACAATAGGACGAGGTAACAAAGAATACAATAAATTCACATGTACCCGTTCCATTCGCCATTAGAAAGGCAACGAAAGGCGATCGAGCCCGTACGTGTGACCAAGGACGCTAGGGCAAAAAWTGGTGGATTTTTTAGCCGTTTGACTCCGTTAAATTGGTRTTTTTTTAGCCGTTAGAAACTGTTTAAACTGTAACTTATATCTGTTCTATTATGTGCTGGCTTGATCTTTTCAGTTTTCCCGTCTATATACGCCAAAAATACTGCTGTGACCAACGGTTTAATCGTACGTAACGAACTACTATATCCTATACCTGCCTCGTGATCGCTTACGTAAGCGTACGCGTCGGTTAATAGGTTATTTAGGGGATTTGGATTAACCTATTAACTTATTAACCGACGCGTACGCTTACGTAAGCGGTCACGAGGCAGGTATTGTCGGTTTTCACATGACGTCATCAAAACATCAAAATCTAAACTATAGATCGTATAAAGGCATTTCTCAAGTATGTTTTAAAAATTAGTGTTATAAGTCACAAGAAAAAATTTCGAGTTATTTCGATGTTTGGTTCTCGAGTTATGAAGGTTGAGTTTGTGTCACGCAATGCCATCACGAAAATACCTAAATAGCGATCAAAATAGTAAAATAATTTACTCTAGTTAAAAGATTTTCCTTTAGACACGTTTTAAAGATCTATTTAAGGTATATTTAAGTGAAATATAGTCAAAAATATTTAAAATTCCATCATCTTAAGCCTTTGAAATTTCGTCCGCCATGATGGTGTACCAACTTGGAACACCAAGATGGCCGCTCCATACATTTTAACCAAAAATTGCGTCATGTTTGCTCGCCTCTAGTTCCGCAACGAAATGCTTTACAGCCTCGAAATTTGGCCAGAATGTGTAGTTTTGACCGCTTTACAAGATAATGAAACTTTTATTTTATTATAATGCGAATTTACGCTTTTGAAATTCATGATGACGTAGGTGAAAACCAAGAATAGGATATAGTAGTTCGTTACGTACGAGTAAACCGTTGGTCACAGCAGTATTTTTGGCGTATATAGACGGGAAAACTGAAAAGATCAAGCCAGCACATAATAGAACAGATATAAGTTACAGTTTAAACAGTTTCTAACGGCTAAAAAAATACCAATTTAACGGAGTCAAACGGCTAAAAAATCCACCAATTTTTGCCCTAGCGCCCTTGGTGTGACTCGCTTTCTCTGGGCTTCCTGTGTTAGTAATAGCGCAAAAATCCAATATGGCGGACCAGCTCACATAATCCCGATGAACACAAAAACATGATAATCATTATCAAATACATGAAATTTTAAACTTATCTGGTCTGAGGAACTAACGAGAATGTTCAAAGGGGCAGGACAGCCAGAGCTTATTCGCTCAAATCAAAAAGACATTTATTATTTGACTTCGCTAAGGGAAAATTTTGGACAACTATTTCGGGATTTCTTCGGTGAGTCGTGAGCTATTTAACTAATTTTGAAGATATTTTTACTTTGAAAGAGCTTAACCATAGAGTGTGTTATGGACTTTTTTTAAAGGTGTTCACTCCTGGATGAAATATAAGGACGAAATTGAGGTGTTTGCAGAAGTTTGCTATTTTGGGTTGACAACACTGAGTGGTAAATATAGCTCTTATTGACTTCTTATTGGTCTTTGTTTGAAATGGGATGTTCAATGGAAACCTTTTTGACGAATGTAAATTTTATGTTGAAACAGTTTAAGATTTTTGCAGCTGCTATGCAGCTATTAAAAATACAGCTATTTTGAAAAAAGGTTGGCAAAGCTGTTGTTGGCATGTTGCATACCAAGCCTGGAATCTATTATATTCATATCATAAAAATAGTGTCAGTAGGAAGAAAATATGCTGGGAATATGTGCAGACAAAGTTTGAGAAAGTTCAATATCATTGTGACCTTTTGCTGATATTGCATTTACATTGCCCATATAGAGCCTACCGGCTTGGTATGCAACATGCAACATGCAACATGCAACATGCAACATGCAACATGCAAAAAAAAAAGAAAAAAGAAAAAAAAATCACTAGCCTTTTTTGAAATAGCTGCATATGTGTTTCCTCCCAAAGGAGCATGGGTAGGAGGAGAGGGAGGGGAGGGGGAGGGGGTTTGAAAATATCAGTACTGTATGGTACAGATACAGTGTATCATAATTGACCATAATTTCAAAATTGATGGTAATACAGGCTTTCAAACACTGGGTGAAGAATATTGCAATATTGTTCAAGTTGATGACACAAGGAGAGCAATCCCATCTACTTTAGTAAGTCAAGTATAATCACGTTTATTAATGATCGGTAACTGTTATGAAAATTATGGTTTCCATGAGTGTCATATTCAGGGTTGAATCCAGAAATCAGAGAAAGGAGGGATCTGAAAACTTTGCCCTGAAAGGGACTTTTATGAATTGCAAAATTGGGGGGGGGAGGGGAGGGAACCTCCGTGTCAGCTAGCCTACCCAATATTAGAGGGTGGAATGTGCCCCCATTGGCCCATCCCTAAATCCACCAATGATATTTATTAAAACTTGATGTATTGGCATCACTGGCAGATGTGATCTCTCAAAGATGTATAGTAAATTTCTTAGCCCACTCTTTGAAGCTAATGACCCGATAGCCTTGTTTCGATGCTACGCTCATAGAAATTCAGCTGGTTTGTTGGTGTGACGTGTTCAACTGCGATAAGAGCTATTAATCTAGAGAAGAACCCAGCTGCCTATCTTGTCAAAAGAGCATCCTATGTTTCAAAAATTACTAAACCTTCTGCACTGGTTGATGCTATCATAAGAATGGTGTCATAAATTTAATAAACGTGGTAACTGTAAAGAAGACTCTTAAATTCCATGATGTTTGATCTACACACATGAATTTCTTAAAGTTATTATTAAAGAATTGGTTGTTGGTTAAGTAATATGTTTTTTAGTTTTTGTCATTGAATTTCTAAAGTCACTTAAAAGTCAAAAATTAAAATAATTATAATAATACTTTAAAAAATTTGGCATCTTAAAACTGCTTGATAAAAAGTTATACTTGGTAATTGATTCCCTTTTTAGAACAGATGTATCCTTGTTTGTCTACACACATTAGCACCCTACTTTCTGAGAAAACTTCTAGGAAAGCTGGAGGTACTTGTCCAGACTCCAGAAAGGTGGCCCAGTGGTATGTATTACATGTATTACTGTCTTATCTAAAGTTACAGAGTTTTGTATTATTGCACCTGAATTCCAACATGCAAGTCAAAGCAAAAGATTTTTTTCCTCTAAAGCATAAATTATTTCACTTCCTTTTTATTTGTCTGACCAATCACATTGCGTGAAAAAAAATCCCCAAATCAAAAGTCTAGAAAACATCACAGTGCGGCAAGGCACGCATACGGCACAGACTTTTTCACAGTCATACAAAAACTGCTCTATGTTGCATTTCAAAGCCATTTCGTTTGTCAGAATTTTCCCGCTAACACCGCCTCATAAATAAATGCTCTTTAAACTTGAGTCTTCTGAATCGAAATGTGATCAAGTGATCTACTGACCGGACTTCTCAATGGCCAGACATGATGATCAGCCACACCAGACTGATTGATCAACATGTGACACGAAGTCATTGTGACCAGTCAAGGGAAATGGCCTAAGAGATGTTTGATGGCCATATAAGTAATAAATTTGACCAGAAATATTATCTTTTTGTCCAATTTGTCTTTCTTTTCTCCCCTCTTTTTTAGGTTGGAGTGAGAAGTCAAGAATATGGCTACAGGAATCATTACCAATCATACAGCAATCTATATTATGTAAGGAAAGTAATTTTTTAACGAATCAGCCTCCATTTCATATTTTCAATAAGCATAGTTATCATTTAAGAAATACAAGTCATGATGTGATGACAACAGAAAACATGAAACTGCATAATGAAGAAATAGATAATGTGGCAGAACATGAGAAAAGTGTTGGGAGAAGCATGATGCGTAGGAAAGTGCTTCTCGACACTTCTCGAGTGTTCTGTCAATCCCCAAGTGCTTTATAACTCCACACAGCACAGCAAGCAAGTTTTTTATTTCTTTTATAAAATACAAATTTCAACAACCATTGTTTTGGATAGGAATGGCGCAACTGAAAGTGCGTGCGTGTGGTGTGTGCTCTCATAAACGAGCACTTCCAACCAATCAGAACGCGAGATTTATAACAGCTTTTTTATAATACATTTTTATTGACAGACTTATAATATGTTTTATATAATAATGTTTTCTTTTTTTTCAGTTCTACACAGAGCTCATTTAACTATATTTTATTTAACTGGTATATTTTATCATCTTTCAAAAAGGATTACATCTATCAATTATGTGAGTCTATTGAATATGTACAGTACTGTATAATTTATGAAACTACCATTTTAATCATAAGCTACCTGTTGTAGGGGAGTATTCAATAATTAAGCAATATAAAATGGCTGTGTTGTCTCTGTACTGTGACATAAACATTCTGGGAGCACAAGAGAAGCAAGAAAAACACTCTGCTACACCTTGTCKTCCTAAGCTTGCTTCTCTAGTGCTCTACAGCTCCCAGAATGTCTATATCACAGTTGTGCACACATTTTGTATTCCTTAAGCTTATCATGTCTAATCAATTCTTTATGTCTTTAGATTCTCGTAAGAAGTGGTCTTAAGAATGACAGCTCCAGACCAACATACAGACTTCTTGGTTACATATCAGCAATTCAGCTTTCATTGTCTGTATTATTTACAGCTTATAAGGTTAGGAATGGTACAGTGTTTAACACCTATCCCTTTGACTCCAACAACCTTTTCTAAAATATTTAGTTCCAGAAATTATCCAACCCACCCCCACAGATTTTCGAATTTCCAAG